ATTCTTGGGGAAGTGGGTTGGTGTTGGAATTGTTCAGGATCAATGGTTGGAAGGTCTAGTCTACTGGAATTCTGATCAAAAGAGAAAAACCTGGTCCTTGTCCATGTGAAATAACCACTGCCCGCCTCCCTCCACCCCCACCGCAAGTATTAATCATCACCTTAGCAGAGAGTGCTTTGCTTAATGATACCTTCTGGAGACTTGAGCATAAAATCAATGCTGAAACTCCAGTGGAGTACTACCAGAGTGCTGCACTGTCTCTTGTAAAACGATGTCAATCTCTCTGGTGGACATAAAAAAATCTGTTGCCAAAATTCAAAGAGGAACTGGGTATTCTCCCTGCATTCTGGCCAGAATTTATCAGCCAACATCACTTAAATGCATTTAGCAATCATTATCACACTGTTTTTCCAAACATTTCTAACAAGGCTGAAAAGCTTGCAGTTCTCTCCTAATGTGTGGGTGAACATCAAGGGAATAGATAACATGTCACTCTCTCAAACACCTAAACTTCTGTTTCATTTTCTATTTGCGCCTATTTGAATGTATTAAAATTCAAATTGTCCCGAACATACAGGAGAGGGGATTCTTAATAATTTTGTCCATGAAAAGTTGAGCATGTAATTACTCAGTCCTAAAGTACCTTGCTAGTCAGAAACTGAAAGTCATTTAGGCTGTTTAATTAAAGAAGCAAGGATTCAAGACTGCAATTGCTGCTGCAATGCAAGCAGTTTTTAACTTGACTCGTAAAATTATTTCAAGTGAAAACTGAAAATCAGGCCACAAATGCTGACAAGCTCTTCCATCACACCAGTAAAATTGCTCTGTCAGTGTTCTTGCCAGAATCTAATATTGCGATAGTGGATACCGTGACAGCAAGGTTCCAAGAAGTGTATGTTTAATGGAGTATGTGTGTTGCTTCAGTGATTTGGAGAAGGTATTTGCAACTTAGAAATTCCTTCCTGACAATATTATTTTTTGTTGCTTGATGTAGAAAAAAAGAGTCATGCACCATTTTAAAGTGGATGATCATTATTTAAATTTATACATTTTATTTCAAATCTCAGTGCAGCAAAATGGTTATGATATGCAAATACAAAAATTAACATTTACTGCAGTCTTCACACAAATATAAAATTCCATATTTGCCATCCATACCTTGAACTCTCTCTGATTTTCATGTGCTTTTGATACCATTTTATGATCATTTTGATTGAATGTTTAGTGGTTAATGCAATGGGTGGAATCTTCCAGTTCCTGAAAAATGTGGGTGTTGGCAAGTTATTTGAGAAAATGGGGTGACATTGGTAGAAATGAGATTCTCAACAGCAAGAAAAGAACTCCAATTCTACATGCAGGTTTTGAACAGTGAGATGAGCATCTCGCTAGTGAGCAGTGAGAGACTTAATTGCATCCATTTGCAGGCATTAGCATGCTATTATCTCCTAATCATTCCTCACTTATATGCAGTTTCCTGTTCTCTCAGCTGTTGGATAGAAAGTAGACAGTGACAATTCTTGACACGCAATTCAGAGTATCTGATGATTCCTGATTGCCCCTTGGTCCTCCAGGTCTCTATCTTTGACAGTGGTCCCCAAACTCTCAGACCATTTGCCATGGACTGCCCTCAAACCTGATCCACGGAGGTAACCAGCCTCACCGCACCTTCATGGCACATCTCTGATGCACTTATGATGCACTTATAATGCAGTTATGCAGCTCAGTGCTTCACTTTGGAGTGAGTTACCTTCAGTGTAAAGTTGTTGCCATGACACTTCGAGCACCAGGATAAGCACCTACCTTCTGAATTTGACCAAAGTGAATCTCAGGGCTCCTCATTTTAGCACTCACTCATTTTGTGCCTACTTGGAAGCTTACAACATCTCTGCCTTGCCTTGCCTTTTTGTGCTTTGCTGACACAGCCAGAGCGTAAAGGCTCACAGTACTTCAGTCTTGCCTCGCTGTTTAAAGCAGACACACAGACAAGAATCTCGTCAACAGTCATCAGTCAAGGGGATGGACAGGTTTCTGTACGAGGCTACATCAATGTCACTCTTGAAGTACGTGGCAAACTACTCAACCAAATGTCTCAAAGTCTAACCGGAGCAGTCCTCAGTCCGGCCAAGGAAGACGGCATTCACTCAGGGGGTTCCTGAAACAGTAAATCAAGAGCATTGCCCACTTTCAATCTTGGGGCTTGGATGGAGTTAGTCAGCTATTTGGGGTGGTCAGGGTCATGAGTATCACTGCAGTTCAGGGAGTGGGCCACATTCAGTTCTGCAGGTCCAGTGCAACCAGAACAGGATTTGCAGTCAGGAAGCTGCACATGAATCAGTCAGCATTCTGGACTGTCATCATTCAGGACAATCCATCCAAGTCAATTGAGGGGTCAGGGGGTTTGGAGCATCGTAAGGGTCATTTCAATGAAATTTTAGGGGTTTATCAGAAGCACTGCTCTGGCAGGGAAGCTGAGGTACTCAACTGTGAGGACTGGAAACTGCATGCTGAAATGCAGAGGGATCAATAATTATATAAGGAACTGACTCAACATCTAGATGGGGGCATTGGTGGACATGGATGGGTTACTGTGGGAGGTGTGGGGTTCAATGACATTCACAGCCAGCGTCAATGTGGGGGAAGGATGGGAGTTGGGGGTCTTGTGGTAGTGTGGGCATAGTGCATTATAATGGTTGGAGTGACTAAGCTGCAGGACAGGGCTCAGGCAGCAATGTTGGGAGATGAAGTGGTAATCCAATGAAATATGTGGAAAGATGTGAAAGCTCAGGATTGATGGACTTGACAGTGAAAGGAAAGAGCATCAAGATTTGGGGGAAAGGTGGGGGACTGGTTTATCAGGCAGATCTTGCAACTCACTGTACCAAACGCAACCTTCATTACCTTCTGTACTCATTGCAAATCATAAATGTGCACTGGAAATACGACAGTGAACACACCCACAGCAGGTGGAGTAAGTATTTATTTTCTGTCTGAGCATTTGGGCTCTACATGTGAGTGATGTGAGGGGCATTTGCATTAATCAGGCACTTTCACATTACAGATTGATGGTCACCTGTAATCATAGCACCCTGCATGCGAAATGTACACAGTGTCCAACTGTGTGGGATTCAAATCCTGGTCGCAAGTAATTGTGACCATATCAGTGGTCATTGCAGATTGACGATAGTTATCTCTGTGAAACAGAAGCAATTGCAGATGTTCTTAAAAGTTGCAAACCACAATTCACAAAGACAATCTAAGATCTCATAGGCAGCACAAAGACACAATAACCCACATTACTGGAATTAGATCCCTATGCCAAAGGCTCATAATGAGGAACTATACAGCCCTCTTTGTCAGAGGCCTCCATGTTCCACTATATGGAAGAGTACGTTAAACTGTCAAGGATAATCTGCCTTACTAGTGGGAGACAAGGGCTACCCTCTGTAACCTTGGCTGATGGCTCCTTTAAGCAATCCCCTGGCTGAGTAGGTACAATGTAGCCCACTTTTTGACCAAGGCCAGCATACAGCAGACAGTGACTGTGCTGAAGGTAAGTTCTGATGCTTGGATCAGTCTGAAGTGAGGCAGGCATGCATGAAACTCCAGATCGAACATGCTGCATAATCATTGTATGTTGCACTCTACACAGCTGCAGCAGGCAGATAGGGGATATGATGGACACTAAACAGCTAGGAGAACCGAAGCAGACTGTTGAGGAGGAACAGAAGGCAAAAAGGAGGGGTATCACACTCACCATAACAGAGCAGTGCAACATGAGGCACAACAAGCCAGACAGTTCATAATTGACACTCAATTCCAACAGGTATGAGCTGGGTGCAGTGATCACTCATTGACTCACTGTAATTAGCAACTTGAAAGATAACTGGCCCCTGGTCTATTTCTAGAAACAAATGCAGATTTTGTCTGTTTGTTTCCTCTTTGCTTTTTCAGTTTCTGAATAAAAGTGAACATTTTCAAATGTTTGAAGGCTTTCAGAATGTGATGGTTCCACATTCAGCAATGATAAGATGGTGGGCTACACTCGGCATTTGGGAAAGTGTAGCGTTCCCTTAGACAAAGGTTCTAATTTGGGATGATGCTAAGGAAGACATTAAAAATGGCACTAGTGCTGAGAATATCAGGAGGTCCCAGCAATGGTGAGTATTTCTAGCTCTGGTGAGAGGGAAGATAGGACAACTGGGGAGTCATAGAGGCGAGGTGCATTGGTAAAGTGGCAAGTTTGGGAAGATTGTGTGTGTGAGAAATCGTTGCTCATGCTGATAGAGAGAAACCCTCCATTCAAGTTACCAAAATTGACACTTAGTTGATTTCTGGTAAAATTCTAATGCCTTGGAATGCCTCGACTTTCCAATTTAACCATGTGTTATTTTTATATTTCTGGCACTCTGCACATCATGCAGAGTAATCCTGTTTCCCATGGATTACTGAAATACCACACTGTCAACAGCCTTTCAGTTACTAATAGGTTCCAGATTTAACACGCTGTACGGTTAAATAAAACCTGCTGCATTTTGACAGTGGATATGTAATTAATGTAAACACCAGCTTTCTTATTTTGAATAGCTTAAATATATGGCTTTTGTTACGAAACACGAGTAATTTTAGATCCTCAGTAACTTTGTGAGATCACTTTTGACTGTATATTTTTAGAAACTGGAGCAGTGTTTGACTTCTTGTCTCGTGCTGTTGATGATAATAGCTTGCCAAGTACCTTGGGACATTAGACTTCTGTGAAGAGAGATTAAGTTTTCATTACTTTATGAATTTAAATGTTAAAAATGAAAGGGGGAATTTTATTCCGTTTGAAAGGTTTTAAAATATGTTTTTCTTTTGGCAATAGGTAATAAAAGAAAAAACAGGACAGTTTCTTTGAAGTAATAGTTGAAAGGAAATAATGCCTCCCAATTTAAGGTGCTGATTCTAAGTCAGAGTAACTTACAAGCATAAACAATATTTATATCAAAAGGCTTGGACAGTAATTTAAATGCAGGGAAACAATTTTTATTTTTGACCAATTTTTCTTAAAGGACGCTGATGAAGATTAGATGTCCAGAACACGACGGAAGGAGCCGACAGTAGCGACAATGGCTCCCCAGTCAGAGTATCTCCTGTATTCACCGGGTCTCATGAAGTACTGCCGCCCTCTGTAGTTGGGATGCTCATAGAAGATCCAGTAACCGTCCATCACATGGCAGGAGTGGATGTCACGGTAACGGAAACAATCGTAGACAGATGGACAGTCTTCCATGAATTCCATCATTTGTCCTCCAAAATTAGGCCTCTCGTGAATCTTTATTTTATATGAAGCCCCACTTGCCTGTGAGATGAAGCATTTTATTGCTTAACTAGATAAATCAAATACAAATTCATCCATGCTGGAATGTATTATTCTTGAATCAGGCATACTAAATCAATATAAATGATACATAGATGATTACCAAAAGAAACTTGCATCAATGAACTTAGAGGACATTGGGGCATATTAAATGGATAACGAAACTGACCCTGCTGTAACTTTTAAATTGCATTCGGAGGAGAATGAATTCATTTATTTATTTTGGTATCCATTTCTTCTTTTGCATTCCTTGAAGCAATGACTCTCAGTGGGTTTTGGCTGTAGATCCAATGAGCATCTTTCAATATCTGGACTAAGCAGTGAGATATTTGTTTGGGAGCGCAATGACTTCACTAGATTAGTGGGACCATGAAAATTGAGCTCCGTGTAGCAATCCTACATTCACACAGATATTCTGATAGCCCAAAAAATTATGAGAAGGAGGAATCCCAGCCAACATTTTCTTTGTAACTTTGTGACCCAATGCCCAGGTTCTCTCCAACTGAGATCAGCTGATTCAGCAATGAGTGGGGATTTATGCAGATTAGGTAAAACCTGCGGGTGCACAATGGTTCACACTACTACCTTACAGCACCAGGGACCTAGGTCAGATTCCATCCTCAGGCCACTGTTTGTGTGGAGTTTGCACGTTTCCCCTGTGTCTGCATGGTTTTCGTCCAGGTGCTCCGGTTTCCTTCCACAGTCCAAAGATGTGCAGGTTAGGTGGATTGGCCAAGGGAAATTGCCCATAATGTCCAGGGATGTGCAGGCTGGGTGGGTTAGCCATGGTAAATCAGGGTTACAGGGATAGGGTAGAGGGTGGGTCTGTGTGGGATGTTTTTCAGAGGGTCAGTGTGGATTCGATGGGCCAAATGGCCTGCTTTCACACTGTAGGGATTCTGTGATTCATGACAGCACAGAAACTATCCATCTTTTTTGACATAGATATTCAATTAGTTCCATTACCTTGCTTTTTCCTCACAGCACTGCAGTCTCTTATTTATTTTTAAGCATTCAAGCAAACGATTTGGACTTGAGTATCAAAATAGTGAATTGTAAAATTTGTAGATGGCACCAAAACAGGGGAGTGAAGTATACACAGGGCAGGATTACGACAAATTAAGGTAATAAGCTTATGGAACAGACATGCAAATGGCAAATTAATTTAGATTCTTTTAAAGCCAAAATTACATCAAACAGCCCTTGACGCGACACCATAACGAAAATGCAAACTAATGATTAACACAAACTTATTAAACAGGGAATAGAAACGTACTAAATCAAAATGACATTTTCTGGGGTGATAATGTACTCCAGGCCCTGAAATGCCCACCGGTCTCTATCCCACTCTCGTCGCTATTCCCAGCTATTGCCTCTGGCCTTGGTGGTTCCGCAGTAGAATTCTCGCCTGCCACGCAGGAGGCCCGGCTTCAATTCCTGGCCAATGCATGGGGTGGCATGTTAGCTCAGTGGTTAGCACCGCTGCCTCACAGCACCAGGGTCCTGGGTTCGATTCCACCCTTGGGCAACTATCTGTGTGGAGTGTGCACATTCTCCTTGTGTCTGCGTGGGTTTCCTGCGGGTGATCTGGTTTCCTCCCAAAAGTCCAAAAATGTGCAGGGTAGGTGGATTGGCCATGCTAAACTGCCCATAGTGTTCAGGGATGAGTGGATTAGAGGGATGGGTCTGTGTGAGATGCTATGAGGGTTGGTGTGGACTTGTTGGGCTGAAGGGCCTGTTCTCACACTGTAGGGATTCTATTATTCTATGAACTTCTATAACAGTGGACACCGCATGCTCCCTCTAAAAGGACAACTGTGCTCACATGTAACTGTTAAAATCGAGGGCAGAGAGTGAGGTACAATGACTCCTCCCCCTGCCTGGACCTCTAATGGCTACTTTGGCCAGGCCCAGGAGCAGACCCATGACGAGGCCCTCTGACCTCTTCTCCCCTCCCTGCCTGGGGTGTCCACAGTTCAGGAGGCATGGGGCTGAAGTGCAACCAGAAATTGAGAAGCAGCACCTTCCAAAAACTAAAAGGTGGCTGCTAATGGAAACATTCAATGCGAAATGTACATGAGTGTTGAGTTGGTCATTTTGTAGAGAGAATAAGAAAGCCCCTTACTCCTTGTGAAATGTTTGTTTATCTGTGGCAAAGGAAAAGAAGGATTTGGAAGTACAGATGCACAAATTAGTAAAGGTAGCAACAAAGGTTACTAAGGCCATTTAAGAAAAATGTAGACAAAGTATTGGGCATGTTCCTCATAGGAAAGAATTGAAAAGCAAAGAAGTTATGTTAAATTAGTGATGAATCTCGATTAGACCATACTACTATGATCATTTATGTCTCCACTTTATGAAAAAAAGAGCCACTGGTGATTGCAAAAAAAAAACAAAGTTGATACTAGAATTCAGCTGTAATGTCGATCAGAACATATGAGAAGGCTGTGGTTTTAGAAAGACAAACACTAATAATGGTCTTAAATGATTTGCTCAGCTGATAAAGAGATGTTTCCTTCTAAGAGAGAGATAACAAAAAGAGATTATAAATATAAGAGATAGTTCAACTGAGAATGCAAGTGGAACTGCTTTACTTTGAAAGTAGTTAAAACATAGAATTCATTACCAGAAGGAACAGTTGAGCCAAAAGGATGGACACAAAGAAGAGGAAGTTAGATAAACATGAGAGAAAATGAATAGGAGGACATAGAGTTGAATGAAGGAGGACATGGAGACAAGGGTCATAACAAAGCATTATCGTTAACACAAATGACTTGGACTGAATAACCTGCTTTTGTATTGTATATATTTTGTCATACTTTGCACTACTACATTTATCTAATGCCCACAAAGTTGAATATACTTTCTCCATCTTTTTAGGTAATGCTTCCAGACTGCAAGAACTCTTGCATAAAAATACTTCTCTACATATCCTTTCTGGAATATTTGTCAATTATTTTAAACATATGTCCTCTATTACTGGCTAATACATCTGTGCAAACAATGTTTTCTCTTTTAATGATCAAAAACCATCATAATTTTGAATTCCACAATTAAATCACCCCCCAAACATTTCAGTTTTAAGGAGAACCTTTGCTCTTCTCTCCAAAAATCTGGAACTAGCCCTTCTTGGTATATTCTGGAAAATCTGCTCTGCACCTTTTTCAAAGCTTTAGTATCCTTCCCTGAATGATAGTGCATGGTATCAGGATTAATTCTCCAAGCTGAGGCTTAATAAGTGATTTATGAAGAAAAAAAACATGATGGAATTGAACGAGAGTTCTCTGATAAGTCTTGCTGAGTTTGTTTTTTGATTGGAGCTTCTGATAGAGGACTTAAATGACAGTAAAGAATTTGGACTCTGATTGCCCTGTTCCTTTGTTCATTGACATGTGCCAAACATCAGGGTGAGAATGAATGGGGTTTCTCATTCTACACTTTTTATAATCAAGCCTACCAGTAAGGAACAAGAGTAGAACATTTATCCCTTCGGGCTTGCTCCACCATTCAGTAAGATCATGGCCCAAGTGATTTTAACCTCAACTATACATTCCTGCATATCCCCGATAATCTTTCATCCCATTGGTATTCAGGAATCTTAAAAATAATTAAAGTTTCACATCTACTGCTGTTTCAGGAAGGGAATTCCAAAGACTCACAACCTTCATATGAAGCTAATTTCTGAATCTGTAGATTGTTAAGGTGCAAACATGGCTTTTAGTAGAGTGACGCGCTCTTCCTGTCAGATATGGGAGATTAGGGAGAGTTTCCATGTTACTGCCGATTAAGTCTGCAGGAAATGTGTTTGGTTGTGAATCCTATTAGATCGCATGGATCATTTGGAGTGGCATTTAGAGGCCATGAGGAATTTACAGGAGCTAGGGAATGTGATGGATGGTAGTTGCAGGAAGAGAGATTAATTGAAGATACAGTCAGCTAGATGGGTGACCTCCAGGAAACGTAGGACAGGGAGACAGATAGTCCAAGAGTCTCCTGTGGCTATCCCCATCTCAAACAAGTATGCTGTTTTGGAAAACATAGGGGGTGATGGATGCTCAGGGAATATGGCACTGACAGCCAGGTTTGTGGTACCGATACTGGCTCTAATGTAAGGAGGGGTACACTAGGTTCCAAGTGGTCAATTGTGATAGGAAACTCTCTAGTCAGAGGCACAGACAGATGTTTCTGTGGCCAACAGCGAGACATGAATGGTGTGTTGCCTCCCTGGAGCCAGGGTCAAGGATATATCGGAGAGGGTGCAGAATATTCTCAAAGGAGAGAGGGACCAACAGGAGGTTGTTGTACACATTGGAACTAACGACATAGGAAGTGACAAGGATGAGATTCTGAGAAGAAAATGTAGGAAGTTAGGTGGAAATTTAAAAAGTAGGCCCTCGAGGGTAGTTATATTTGGATTACTCCTGGTGCTATGAGCTTGTGAGGGTAGGAATAGGAGGATTGAGCAGATTAATGTGTGGCTGAGGAGCTGGCGCAGGGGAGAAGGATTCACATTTTTGGACCATTGGAATCTTTTCTGGGATAGAAGTGAACTGTATAAGAAGGACGGATTGCACCTGAATTGGGAGGGGGCTAATATACTGGCCGGGAGATTTACTAGAGATTTTTGGGAGGATTTAAACTAGGAAAGGGGTGATGGGACTCAGGGAAATAATGAGGAAAGAAATCAGTCTGAGACTGGTACAGTTGCGAAAAGGACTAAGTCAAACAGTCAGGACAGGCAGAAACAAAGCTAAGTATGAGGTAGGACTGATAAATTAAATCACATTTATTCCGATGCAAGAAGCCTAACAGGTTAGGCAGCTGAACTTAGGGCATGGTTGGGAACATGCAACTGGGATATCATAGCAATTACAGAGACGTGACTCGGGGTGGACAGGACTGGCAGCTTAATGTTCCAGGTTATAGATGCTATGGGAAGGCTAGAAAGGGGAGAAAGAGAGGATGGGGAGTGGCATTTTTGATTAGAGATTATATTACGACTGTGCTTGGGGAGGATATTCCTGGGAATACATCCAGGGAAGTTATTTGGGTGGAACTGAGAAATAAGAAAGGGTTGATTGCCTCATTGGGATTGAACTATAGACCCCACAATAGTCAGCAGGAAATTGATAAACAAATTTGTAAGGAGGTCTCAGTTATCTGTAAGAATAATAGGGTGGTTATGGTCGGAGATTTTAATTTTCCAAACATAGACTGGGATTACCATAGTGTGAAAAGCTTGGATGGAGAGTAATTTGTTAAGTGTGTACAAGAAAATTTTCTAATTCGGTACGTGAATGTAACTATTAGAGAAGGTGCAAAACTTGACCTTCTCTTGGGAAATAAGGCAGGGCAGATGACTGAGGTGTCAGTGGGGGAGCACTTTGGGGCCAGTGATCATAATTCTATTAGTTTTAAAATAGTGATGGAAAAGGATAGACCGGATCTAAAAGTTAAAGTTCTAAATTGGAGGAAGGCAAATCTTGACGGCATTAGTCAAGAACTTTCAAAAGTTGTCTGGGGGCAGATGTTTGCAGGTAAAGGGAGGGCTGGGAAATGGGAAACTTTCAAAAATGAGATAACGAGAGTCCAGAGACAGTATGTTCCTGTTAGGGTGAAGGGCAAGGCTGGTAGGTGTAGGGAATATGCTGGATGACGAGAGAAATTGAGGTTTTTGTCAAGACGATAAAGGAAGCATATGTCAGGTACAGACAGCAGAGATCAAGTGAATCCTTAGAAGAATTTAAAGACAGTAGGAGTATATTTAAGAGGGAAATCAGGAGGGCAAAAATGGGACATGAAATAGCTTTGGCAAATAAGTTTAAGCAGAATCCAAAGGAATTCCACAAATACATTAAGGACAAAAGGGTAACGAGGGAGAGAATAAGACCCCTTAAAAGATCAGTAAGGCCACCTATGTGAGGAACTGCAGGAGATGAGGGCAATAATAAATGAGTATTTTGCAACCGTGGAGAAGGATATAGTTAGAGAACGTGGGAAAATAAATAGGGACATCTTGAAAAGTTTCCGTCTCACAGAGGAGGTGGTACTGGACGTCTTAAAAAGCATAAAGGTGGATAAACCCCTGGGTCCTGATGAAGTGCATCCGAGAACTCTGTGGGAATCTAATAAAGAGATTTTGCTGAGATATTTGTATCATTAATAGCCACAGGTGAGGTGCCGGAAGACTGGAGGATGGCTAATATGGTGTCACTATTTATGAAACGTGGTAAGGAAAAGCCAGGAAACTAAACCGGTGGCAGGCAAGTTGTTGGAGGGAATCCTGAGGGACAGGATTTACATGTATTTGGAAAGACAAAGACTGATTAGGGATTGTCAACATGGCTTTGTGCACGGGAAATCATGTCTCACTAACATGATTTAAGTTTTTTGAAAAAATAATGAAGAGGATTGATGAGGGCAGAGCGGTGGATGTGATCTATTTGGACTTCAGTAAGGCATTCGGCAAAGTTCTTCAAGGTTGACTGGTTAGATCACACGGAATACAGGGAGAATTAGCTATTTGGATACAGAAGTGGCTCAAAGGTAGAAGACAGAGGGTGGTGGAGGGTTGCTTTTCAGACTGGAGGCTTGTGACCAGTGGTATGCCACAAGGATCGGTGCTGGGTCCACTTTCGTCATTTATATAAATGATTTATATAAACGTGAACATAGGAGGTATGGTTAATAAGTTTGCAGATGACATCAAAATTGGAGGTATAGTAAATAGTGAAGAATGTTACCTCAGAGTACAACAGGATCTTGATCAGATGGGCCAATGGGCCGAGGATTGGCAGATGGAATTTAATTTATATAAATGTGAGGTGCTGCATTTTGGAAAGGCAAATCAGGGCAGGACTTATACACTTAATGGTAAGGTCCTGGGGAGACCTTGGAGTGCAGGTTCATAATTCCTTGAAAGTGGACTCACAGGTGGATAGGATAGTGAAGAAGGCATTTGGTACGCTTGTCTTTATTGGTCAGTGCATTGAGTATAGGAGTAGGGAGGTCCTGTTGTGGCTGTACAGGACATTGATTATGCCACTTTTGGAGTATTGCATGCAATCCTGGCCTCTTTCCTATAGGAAGGATGTTATGAAACTATAAAGGGTGCAGAAAAGATTTACAAGGATGTTGCCAGGGTTGGAGGGTTTGAGCTATCGGGAGAGGCTGAATAGTCTGGGGCTATTTTCCCTGGAGCGTCAGAGGCTGAGGGATGACTTAATAGAGGTTTGTAAATCACGTGGGGCATGGATCGGGTAAATAGGCAAGGTCTTTTCCCTAAGGTTGTGGAGTCCAAAACTCGAGGGCATAGGTTTAAGGTGATAAGAGAAAAATATAACACGGACATAAGGAACATTTTTTTCATGCAGAGGGTGGTGCGTGTATGGAATGAGCTTCCAGAGAAAGTAGTGGAGGCTGGTACCATTCCAACATTTAAAAGGCATCTAGATGGGGAAATGAATAGGAAGGGTTTAGCAAGATATGGGCCAAATGCTGGCAAATGGGACTAGATTTATTTAGGATATCTGGTTGGCAGGGACGACTTGGACTGAAGGGTCTGTTTCCGTGTTGTATATCTCTATGACTCTATGACTCTAAATGAATAGATAACAGACCTGCTCATTTCTTGTACATTATACAGCTTAAAATTTCACCTTTGTCAATGTGACAAGAAAGTATATGGATAATATTTAAAAGTAACACTTGACCTATAAAGATGCAGCAAATTTCAAATGATAATATTGGATCACTTACATAGCTATAAGTGCGACATGACCTGATGTTGTCATTGAATCCCATCCAGTGCTGGCAGTCAGGGTACTCTCCCTTGGTCAGAACATACTGGTATCCCATGTAATTGGGTCTCTCATACGCCACCCAGCAGCCACTCTCAACACGGATGGAGTTACAGCTGCTGATGTAAGAGTGCAGGTCGGCACAGTCACTGCTGCACTCATAGTGCCGACCCTGGAAGTTCCTGTCCTCGTAAAAGATTACCTATAGTGTTAGAAAGCTGTTAGATAGGCTGGAGCATAACTAATTTTAACAGAACAAAGCATCACAATAATAAGTTACTTTTTACCTTAACCATTTTGATGACACTGCCAGAGCTACTCTTGTGTGCCAGGAGTTGGAGTTCATGGCTTTTTATAGGTCGACCTTTGTTATTTCATTAAGGAATTCCAAGTCAGCAGATTCCTCCATGAAATGGCTTGTAGTCTTTGGAGGCACTCATTTGACTTAATGATGGATCAGGTCTTTGTTCAGTCGATTTACTCTGGCATGTCACAAGTACAATGTATATTTGATTTCAAAATAAAGTATTGGGGACTTTAACTATTAGGAATCATGAAAACCAGCTTGGGTAACAAGACTAAATTGACGATAAAAATAAGATTTTTTAACCAAAATTGGAATAATCTTAACGTGTACATGTTTAGGAAATTATCCCAAGTATTTTGGCACTATTAAATGATGAAAAATTCCTGCAGCAGCAAATTATGTATTTCATCGCATCACATACAGAAACATTTCATTCACCCAAACATTTTATGCTGGTGTATAACCTCCACGTGAGTCTCCTGCTATCTTACTCTATCATTCTTTTTGCTGTCAGTATTTGGATTATGTACTCGATTCATGTGCCTTTAATTATATTTCTTTCTTGTTCACTTTCAGGTTTACCTGGCAAAATCTGTCAAACAATCATACAGGAATTTGATCCTGATCAGCCATGGCGTCTTCCATTGTGTCTAGCTTGCAGTGCAGGAAGATCACTAACTATGTTGTGTTGTCTGCACTGATATTCTTCTGAAGCAGTAGAAATGTCAAACAGCATGCACGATCATCTGTATCTCCCAAAGGACATCCAGAATGTAATTAGAAAGGTGTTGCTTTCGTATAGCTTCACTTGCTTGTAGCCACACCTTACACCGAGGGTGATGAAGATTTACGCCTTTGCAAATTGTGGTAAAATTCCTTCAGTGGTTGGAGTGGGGTAGTGAGATATCTTCAAAACGTTATGTAAACCATTTGTGTCAATGTATGCTCTCAGCTTTCCAAGTGGCTTCATCGCTACCATGCTGCTAATCTTCTATTCGGTGGGAGTTAGAACTTTCTTGATTACTCCCATCTTTTCCAGCTCTTCTTTATTGTCTTTCAGGCTCCAGCTGGCAATTTCCTTGTTTGATAGAGTCATAGGGTCATAGAGTCATACAGCATGAAAACAGACCCTCTGATCTAACTTGTCCGCACCGACTAGACATCCCAATTTGACCTAGTCTCAATTGCAAGCATTTGGCCCATATCCCTCTGAACCCTTCCTATTCATATTCCCATCATATGCCTTTTAAATGTTGTCATTGTACCCACTTCCACCACTTCCTCTGGCAGCTTGCCCCACATAAGCACCGCCATCCATATGAAAAATTTACCCCTCAGGTCCTTTTTAAAACTTCCCCCTCTCACCTTTAACCTATGCCCTCTAGTTTTGGACTACCCACCCTGGGGAAAAGACTTTGACTATTAACGCTATCATGATTTTATAAACCTCTATTTTGCAGTATGGTTGGGATTCTGCTGTTCTAATTCCTTTTGACTGTGATTGAATTTCAGCACTGAAGGTAAGAAAGTGCCTTTTTTTGTCCCATTTCCTTTTTTCTGGCTTGCAATATATGGATGATGATTGGATACTTCTTTGACCCTTCATAGCATGCTAATAGTTGAACCTGGGCTAATACTCTTGGGTAATATAATCCCTTCACTCCCACAAGCTCACTCCATAGAGTTGAGACTGGCTTTTTAGTCATTGTCTTTCAATATTCCTCAAAGGGATAAACACAGAATGTACCTGCAGTTTTGGATATAATAGGGGGTGTCTTGCCATTAAGCAAGGAGTCATCAGGCCCTCATTAACTTTGTAATCACATGAGATAACAGTCCATTCAGTTTTAACTTCCCTCCTTTGAAGGGCTGTTATTTGTAATTCTCTTTGTATAAATGTTGCATTTATATTGCATCCTCAACTTTTTGAGGATGTATTCTCCTTGACAACATCCTAACTCTGTTAACACATTGTTGTACACCATTAGGACATGCTCCATGTTCAACAGCTTAGTGTGTTGCAACACATTTACCTGTTCCAGCTTTAGACTTGCTTCACCTGAGATGAGCAGTACTTGCTTGCCATTGGTGGCCAGAAACTTCAGCTCCCCATTCAAGTTATTGCATTGAGCTCACAGAGTAATCTGTCCTCTTGGCACATGTATGGGGCCATCAATAAACTTACTTCCAAGGGTTTTGTTTTTGAATTGTCATGTTGAGCCACGTTGCACAAGTCAGTGAAGGACATGATGTTGCAATCATGCAATGTCTGTTTGACGATTTTGTTGACCTGATGTGTCCTTCTCCAGTCTTCATTTTTTTAACTACCATAAACCACACCTCACTTATCAACTTGACTGAACTAACTTCTTGCTCAGTGATTGATCAGAACTTTCAGTTGATATCTCTCCAGTGGCTATCTGTACCTGCTTGTTATAATTCCATTCAGCGACACACATGTACAAAATTATTTGGTTTCTTACATTGACAACATTGATTTTCCCATACTGTTTGTGCCTTTTGTGTTTGCACAATGCCTTCTGTAGAATTTACATCTGCCATTTTGCCTGTGATTGTTCTGTGCTGTCTATCTGGAGCATCTGTCGACATAATGCAAGACCTGGTTTTTCTGCCACGGGTATGGTCTGTCTGTTGATTCATAACTTGGGGACTTCTGCAAAAGTCAATTGCTCTCCTGAGTTTGTCTTTTCTCAGTAGGCATGCTTTCATGTTTGAATCTCTTGTTCCAAATACAATCCTGTTTCTACTTAACTCATCTTTTAATTGAGAACATTCACAGGTTTCTGCAAGCTGAGTTAATGATGTTACATATTCCTCATTGTTCATTAGCAGTGAATATGTACTATTCATACTATTGTTCATTTAAAGTTCAAAATGTTCCATCAATGCTTTTAAAATTTCTGCCATGTGTCTCTTTCTGTTTTTCTAGCAGATTTAGCATGGATTATATTTTGAAACTGCCTCTTCCCGACAGTGATAAAATATAACAACTTGGACTTGTACTGGTTTGCTCAACAAATCCATTACCAACGCATAATTCTGCTATTGCTAATGGAAGAATTCCCAGTTCTAATTCATATCCCCAATCAACCAAACAGAAGCTGGTAAGGGAGAAGCTGCAGCCATTTTCTCTTAATTAGTGTTTTCACTGTGATCTTTGCTTTTTTTCTTTTTTTCAGTGGCAGCTCGAAGCTCTGTAGCTGTGCTTTTTATTTCAATTTTGAACAATTGCCAATTTTGATACAGTATTTCAGGCATGCAACATAGCAGAACGTTCAACTTGGCGACTTTACTTAAGTGAAGCTTAAGATGTCTGCCTATACTGCGGGTCTCTTATGGTCCTCACTGACCTGAAACATTAACTCTGATTTCTCTCCCAGATGATATCAGACCTGCTGAGCTCTTTCAGCAATTTCTGTTTTTGTTTCTGATTTCCAGCTTCTGCAGTTCTTTCAGCTTTTACTTGATATATAGATGTTGTTGCATGTTCTTACATGCATTTGAACGCTTGTTGGTAACTTAAATTAACAATAAAATTTGGAGTACTTACAGGTCATGGGACATTCATTCACTGAAGTTGTATTTTTTCATTTAGTGAGATTTAACATGAGAGGGAAAGATTTAAAAGGGACCTAAGGGGGCAACATTTTCACGCAGAGGGTGGATCGAGTATGGAATGAGCTGCCAGAGGAAGTGGTGGTGGAGGGTACAATTACAACATTTAAGAAGCATCTGGATGGGTACATGAATAGGAAGGGTTTAGAGGGATATGGGCCAAACGCTGGCAAATGACCTAGATTTAATTAGGATATCTGGTCGGCATGGACGAGTTGGACCGGAGAGTCTGTTTCCGTGCTGTATGACCCTATGAGACACACAAATTCAGAAAACTGTACACATGCAGTGTTATGTTATATTGAAATCTAGAATAAAGGAAAATTTAAGACATATTTTGATGCTTATTTTAGGAAAAAGATACATTTTGGTGATCTCAGCTACATGAAGATACACTGGAAAAATGGGCGAAAATCTGCTGAACGGATAGAGATCATTCCAAGGAAAACATTTATATCTGGAAAAAAAATCTTACAAAATGTGTGCACCTTTCTTCTATATAAAGTTTGTTTTCTGTTTTAAGAATTAAAACAAAAACATGATTTAAGATTTACTACTTTAAATTGATATATCAAAAATCCAATTGAATTTTGCTACGCCCAAATGTCCTGATGGTATAGTTACAGGATTGGGCCACTAGATGACTCTGTAATGTGAATTTCTAATGTTTCTTCCGGAGTACAGTTGCCACCTGGCATTTTGAAAGACATTTATTTATATATCAACTATTATTGGGCAATAGGCAATTCCTTTGTGTGGTTTTAAAAGCCTTCCTTATTTGCTAATTTAGCAATTTCATTCAGATGTTGAAATATTCTCCTTGAGAATGAATAAGTTCCCCAATTGCCTACATACATCAGCACTTTCGGGCTCAATGTTAACAACACCCAGTAGCGTTAAACGGGAATAAAACTCTAGACAGATGTCAAAAGACTTGCCAACACCTACTTTACACCACCGTACAACTTCAAAATCCATCCCTCCAATTTTGAAATTTAAATCTTCAACCTGTTAAAACAAATGTAAGAAAAAATTATCGGATGACTTTCTGATTATTGAATAATTAGTATAATAGGTGGTATAAAAGAGTGTGATGTAATTTTTCACAAATTAAATATAAGTTATAGAGTCATAGAGCTGTACCGCATGGAAACATTCCCTTCAGTCCAACTTGTCCATGCTGACCAGATATCCTAAATTAATCTAGCCCCATTTGCCAGCATTTGGCCCATATCCTATTAAACCCTTCCTATTCATATACCCATCCAGATGCCTTTTTAATATTGTAATTGTACCAGCCTCCACCACCTCTTCTGGCAGCTCATTCCATACACGCACCACCCTCTGCGCGAAAAAAATTCCCCCCCAGTTCCCTTTTAAATCTTTCCCCTCTCATCGTAAATCTATGCTCTCTAGTTTTGGACTCCCCTAACTTGGGAAAAAAATTTTGGCTACTCACCTTATCCATGCCTCTCATGATTTTCTAAACATCTATAAGGTCACCCCCTCCGTTTCCGACACTTCTGGGAAAATAACCCCAGTTTATTCAGCCTCTCCCCATTGCTCAACCCTCCAACCCTAGCAACATCCTTGTGAATCTTTTCTGAACCTTTCAAGTTTCACAACATCTTTCCTGTAGCAGGAAGGCCAGAATTGAGTGCTGTGTTCCAAAAGTGGATTAACAAATCTTCTGTACAGCCTCAACATGACCTCCCAACTCCTATACTCAATACACTGAAGTTGAAACATCAAAGTTGATTGAAATATCACAAAAAATGCCTTCCCTTTATTTCTTGTGTAAACATGAGTGTGACAGTTATTTGAATATATGAATGATTACAAAAGTTAGTTAAAAGCACAATGATCAAGACTTCCATTGTACAAAGTCTTAAGGTAGGTTTGACACATTCATCAATTCATAAGAGATAGAATAATGAAACCCATCAAGAATGCCGCTGCAAAGGGGACTAAAGTTGGGAATTATACAAATTATACATGAAGTAACAGGAATTTAATCTTTTGACTAGGTCAGTGGAAATGTGTAAGTTGTTTCTCATTCTTTTCATTAAAAAGGCAATTAGCTTGCTTGTTTTGTATCAATCCAAAATGGCTTGGGCTTCTCATTAACTCTAAACTGGGTGGAACTGGTGGATATGGCATCACTTCTCTTGAGCAGTGTTGTAACGTATCAGTCAGGTAAGTGTTACATAGCTCCACCTGTTTACCAGCTGAAACTCATGGTTGGTCTGCCCGAAAAACTTTAAAATAAATTTGAAGTGTTTTAATAATCCTGCCAGTGCTCTGTTAATATTCAATTTTACTGGTGAATCCATTGCTGCCAGCGATTCCAAATATATTCAGAAAGAAAAGAACATGAATTGATAAATAATGTTCAAAAGCTCAGTGGTATCCCAAACCTTTGGGGACAACCAATGAAGCATTTTAGATGTGTGGCGTCATTGTTAATTTGTAAATCCAGTAGCCAACTTTCGTATAGTGAGGGAGACAAATGTAGAATTACAGAATGATTACAGCACAGAAGGAGGCCATTCAGCCCTTGTCTTCATGCCAGGCCTCTGTGAGAGCACTTTTACTAGTGCCACATCCCCTGCCTTTTTCAATGCTAACAATTCTACAATTCTCCTTGAAGGCCTGTTTCCATGACACTCTCAAGGCACAACTGTATGCAATAGATCTTCCTCATGTTGCCCATGCTTTTTTATTAAATTGGTGTCTTCTGGTTCTTGGTCCTTCTGCCAATAGGAACAGAACTCAATCTGCTCTGTCTGGACCCATTATGATATTGAACATCCATATTAAATATTTTCCTAATCTTCTCTTCAACGATTCTCCAATCTATGCATATTGCTGAAGTTCCTCATTCTTCTTAGAACAATGCCCATGTATAATTTTTATAGCCTCTCTTATGCTTTCAGGTTCTTCCCAAAATCTGTGGGTCAGAATTGCATGTAATACTTTGAGTGAGGCCGAACCAACGTTTTATGTAGATTTTTCATAACTTCCCTCTTTATATACTCACTTCCCTTTTGATAAAGCTTGAGATTTGTGACATATGTCCCCAGGTCCCTGTGCTTCAGTACCCTTTTAAAATTATGCCTATTATTTTATATTACTTCTCCATGTTTTGCCTTCCAAAAATGCTTCACTTCAAACTTCTCTGCATTAAATTTCTGTGCAACATGCCTAATCTACCAGTCTGTCTACGTCTTTTTTTCAAATTGTTTTATTCATTTCTGTGATGTGGGTGTCCCTGGTTGGGCCAACATTTATTGCCCATTCTTAGTGGCTCTTGAGAAGGTGGTGGTGAGCTGTCTTCTTAAGATACTGTAATCCATTTCATATATGTACATGCACAATGCATTTAGGAAGGGTGTTCCATGATTTTGGGCCAGAGACACTGACGGAACAGTAATATATTTCCAAATCATGATGATGTGTGGCTTGAGGAGAAACCTGCAGGGAGTGGTGTTTCCACATGTCTCTTGCCTATGTCCTCCCGGAGAAGTTGTGGTTATGCATTTGGGAGGTATTTTCTAAGGAACCTTTGAGAATTTATGCTGTACATCTTGTAGATGGCATGCACTCCACATGTTGTGGAGGAGTATTATTGATACGGTGCCAATCAAGTGGCTGCTTTGTCCTGGATAGTGTCCTGTTGCTTGAGGTTTGTTGTAGCTGTACCTATTCCAGGCAAGTGGAGAGCATTCCATGACATTTCTGACTTGTGCCTTGTACATGGTGGACAGGCTTTGGGGAATCAGGAGATGAGTTACTCATTGCAGGATTCCTAGACTCTGACCTGCTTTAGTAGCCACAATATTGATATGGCTTGTCCAGTTTAGTTACTGGTTAATTGTCACCTGCAGGATGTTGATAGTGGGGGACTCAGTGATGGTAATACCATTGAATGTTAAGCCGTGGTGGTTATAGAGTCATAGAGTCATACAGCATGGAAACAGACCCTTCAGTGCAACCAGTCCTTGCTGAGCGTAATGCAAAACTAAACTAGTCCCTTCTGTCTTTGCTTGGCCCATACATTTCTTGTTCATGTACTTATTTAAATCTCTTTTAATCTCTATAACCCACATCCTCCACTTCCTCTGGAAGTTCATTCCACACACGGGCCACTGTCTGTGTAAAACAAAAATTGCCTCTCATGTCTTTTTTAAATCTTTCTCCTCACACCTTAAAAATATGCCCCCTAGTCTTGAAATCTCCAACCATCAGGAAAAGACAACTGCCATTCACCTTATCTCTACCCCTCAATATTTTATAAACCTCTATAAGGTCACTTCTTGATCTCCTATGCTTCAGTGAAAAATGTCCTAGCCTATCCAGTCTCTCTTGGTAACTCAAACCCTTCATTCCCAATCCTGATAAATCTCTTCTGAGCCATCTCCAGCCTAATAATATCCTTCCTATAACAGGTAGACCAGAACTGGACACAGTACTCCAGAAGAGGCCTCACCAACACCCTGTACATCTTCAACACAATATCCCACTTCCTATGTTCAAAGGTCTGAGCAATGAAGGCCAGCACGCTAAATGCCTTTTTAACCATCTTGTCTACATGCGATAAAAGCAAGATTGTCTTTTGTTGGAAATGATCATTGCCTGGCACTTATGTGACATGAATATTACCTGTCATTTGTCAGCCCAGGATATTGTGCAATCTTGCTGCATTTGGATGTGAACTGCTTCAGTATCTGAGGAGTCATAAATGGTGCTGAACATTGTGAATCATCAGCAAACATTCCTGCAGTTGCTTTACACATTTTGCCTTGAGGGAAGAAACTTGAAAAATATCTCATACATTTAAAAGAAGAGATGAAAGAAGGATAAGTATTGATCCTGGCCAAAAAGAAATGAGCGGTGCAACACTCCCCATAGAACTTGTTGGAGCAGAATGGAATCAGCGCAAAATGGAACACACCCTCATTTTACGGCACAAGCTGCCATGTGGTAAATGTAAAGTTTGGGTCTTTATCTATCAAGGAATGAATGAGTAAATGGGTGAGTAAATGAATGGGCAAATTGTGGAGTGAGTGAAGGGTAGGTTTGTATGTGGGTGACTGGGTAACTTCTGGGTCAGGGTGTAGAGTAGTTGAGGTGGATAGGGTGATTAGATGGGTAGGCAGGTGAGGCAGGCAGGTTGGTCCTTGAGTAGTGTGGTTAGGTGCATGGGTGAGTGAATGGTTGGTGGATTGATGGGTGAATGGGTAATTGGGTTGGAGATTTACTGGTGATAGTCATGGATTCATTGGAGTAGTTGGGTGTTTTGTTGTGTTGTTACCCAAGTATTAGACTGGGCTTTAAACTCTCTGTCATTTCCTGGACATCTACTCAGTTACATATTGTGGAACTGTCCGAATTCTTTGACTTGAACTCAGAATCAGAGATATTACGGAGAAAGCCAAGACCATTCCCATGTATATCTGTACTACAGGACTTCCACGGGTTCCCAACATGCATTTTCAGTTGTACATCAGTCTCTGAAGATCTGTCCTTTTATTTGACAGATATTGTTACAAAAATTTGTAAACCAAGTTTCAGGGTCATAGTATTATGCCACAAAAACTTGCTGACAGTAAATAGGAATAATATCCCAAATCTTAATTTTGAGGGTTAAAGTATTCCAAAGTAGTTTGGAACTTTCCCAGTTTAGAAATTTCTTATGTAATTTTGTAAAGACCAGCCTTTGCATGAAAGTGGAATTTGAGATGCTTCAGTGATCAAAGTCCTTCAGATTCCTTGTAAAAATAAGTCTGTTCTATTGATTTGTGAAGATGATTTCATTTAACATTCCTGGCCTATTGTACCATGCATTTTCCAATGCCAGCCCAAAAAGAAAGCACAAAGAGCTTAAGTATTGTTCTTAGGCCAGTACAATGTGGAAACTGACTCTCTGATGCCTGATCAAGCATTAGCTACTGCTATTTATTTTGCACATGAGGAGGGATATGTTAAACCTTTAGAGATCATGCTGCCCAGAATGCTTATTGACCTTGGTTCAGGACTGGATATATCCAGAAAAGTTAAGCTTAGTTATATAGTAAGTTCCTTGGCAGCTCAGTTAGTGAATACTCTTGAAAATGTTATACAGACTAAGGGGTTTTAATCAACTGAGATGGGTCTATTTCTGTACAGGTAGCAGGTTAAACCACCTGAACTGCCAGAGTGTTGGGAAATTAACAAGAGCCACTGACTTCCATCTTTAACTACAATGCATTCCCCACTGTACGAGAAACCCCCTTGGGATAAATGGGGTTGCCATTAAAATATGTTACATGATCAATAGCTTCATTATTAATTCACAGGATATGACTATTGCTGGCTGGGCCAGCACTTAATGCCCATCTTTGAGACGGTGGTGGTGAGCTGTTAGAATTGTAGTTTGAACTCAGGGTTTTGACATTATCTCTGAGTGCATAATCCTGGACTTCCTGGAACTTGCCAGATGATAGCGGGAACTGACAGAACTGTAATTGACTGTCAAGAAAAGCTTTACGTATGGCTTCTGTTTCCACGTCTGAAATAATGGGTCTTTTTTCTCTCAATTC